GTGTGTGTGGTTGCAATGAAAGGGAAACCAAGTGCACAGGGACAACCGATGAGCCCACCTCATTGTCGAGACCTGGGCGACCTAACACCTGAGTTGAAAGTAGATGTGCGCGTACACACTAAGGCCCGGACCATTGTACGCGCAAAAGAACGAAAGGAGTGAGATGAACGGACATGAAGCAAGGGAAGACATGAAAAGAAAGAGGAAAAGAAGTGTGTGTGAAGGGGAAAAGGTGAAAGGGGAACCAAATGGAGGGGACGGGAACCGATGAAACCAAACCTCATTACAACAACCTAGGAAGACCTGCCTCGTTGAAGTGTGTACGATGTATGTGCACCTAAGTGTCCAACAGGTTCCAATGAACCTAAAACTGGCTTTGACCGCTCTGGTCACCTCGTGCCTTGCCGAAATGGCTGGCTGCTTTGACCGCTGCGGTCACGTAAGGGCATGAGCCAGCTTGGAATTCCAAAAATGAGACATAAATCATCGGACGTACGGCATTAGCCAACTGCTGCCCGCTGTGGGCACGTACGTTTCCAGAGCAAAGGAAACAGAGACGTACACCCGTTCGACGGGTCCACGGGAGGCACTCTGCGGGCTCATCCCGGGTTGGCACGAAGCCAAACACACTCATGGATATGCGTACTGATGTGAATGCGGCGCCACACGCCGGCCTAGGGTTCCATTTCCTAAGAAAACCAGTAGGGACCATCGGATCCTGGGGTCTGGAAGAGGAAGTGAGGCCAAAAGCGTAAGGTCGAAGGCGGCGAGCGAGTCGAACAGGTTGACGGCGGCTCGTGCACATCTGCAGAAAAGAACTGAAGCTCTGAAGAAAACCAGGTAGTGAGGTTCTTGGCTTAGCCTCTTGCCATACGGAGAAGGAAAATCGCAGGTACGTCCAGCTGGCCAAGCTGGATATCCCACCAGATTGCATAGCTTTGTTAGACACGGTCTGCAATCTGGTGCCGTGTCCCCCTGCGGTAAAACAAATGCAAAAGCATCCCTGTGACTCCAAATATCACACACACACACACTTGGATCCATGCTCGCAAGAGCTATATCAGTTTGGAGCTTCCCATGAGGTAGTTACTGAATACGAGTCCGTGGTCCAGGGACAACTCACAACTGCCTGGACCCCCTGCATGTCTGTACAAAGGTGAGGACAGTTAAGAACATCTAGGTGGACTGAGTTATATAATGTGGTCGTGCTCCTTAGGGACAGGAGTACACACACATAGATCGATGCTCGCAAGAGCTAAGTCAGTTGCTGGATCGCGGACGCACTAGCCCTTTACGTTACTGAGAGTTAGACCTTGACTTGACTCAACGGAAAGGTGCTTCAACGGAGAGGCGATGGAGTCAGTGGAATTGGAAATGTTTCAACACTGCGTTTCAACTGGGTGACAAACGAGGCGCTGCAGTCGGCTGGGGATTGTTTGGGGGGAGGTATCGTGCGGAACAAACACGGCACCAACAAGCAGCGGCGAAAAGTGGAGTGGTATCACGATGCAGGTACATGGTTGAGCGTCCTCAACCACTTCCCTTCCAGTGACCCAGCTTCGGTGGATCAGGTTCGTCACTGGAAGCCTGATCCCTCTGCATGTAATGGACGGTGCACTCAAAGTGAATTAGGTTATGCAAAATCCTTGGATACAGGTCATCCTTGGAGACAGGTGCTGACACACACACACACACACATCCTCAGAAACATCACTGTTCGCGTTCACAGCAGCAAGCGAACAGAATTATGCAGTTGCCAATGGAGAGTACAGACCATTGAGTCTGGCCCAGCCTAAGATTCTGACAGGATTGCTAACATCACAGAAACCCCAACATTTGACCCAGAAAAACTACCCACGGATTTTGCATGGTTTTGTCGGTGTTTGAAGTCTTGAAGGGCTTTCTGCTTTGTGTCAACCACGTCAGTCCCGTCAGGCTGTGAAGGCGCAGGGTGGAGAGGTCACCAAGGCCTGGAGCCCTCAGGCGGGATTTTTGCGACGGAGCAAGCGGGCTGAATGAAGAACGCGGAGGAAGTCGGAAAACCATGGATGTCATGGAAAACCCTGTTGGTTCCACCTTCTTCACTTGTTCCCGAATGCGTAGCGAAGGGTTCTCGTTTAACTCTTGGGGGTCTGGGGGTAGAGCCTTGTTCGCGATCCGTTGTTTCTACGTTCGCAACCGTCCGCAACCGTTCGCAACCGTCCGCAACCGTCCGCAACCGTCCGCAACCGTCCGCAACC